TAGCCATTACGCTAACTGCTGGTTCCTTGTCCGTTTCTTTTGATAGTCAAGATTTTTGGTTTTATTTTTAAATAATTACTTAATTTTATTAATTATTATTATTTATTTTATTTTATTGCTATAGAGCATGTGCACTCACCAGAGAAAGAGAGAGAGAAAGAGGGAAAGTAAGAAAGCAAGCCACCAGGTCTGGGACTCAAACCACGGTTGGCCATGGAGGAGTCCAGTGCCCCACTCCCTGCAGGCCCCTTTCTTTTTTATTTTTAATTGTCAAAGGGTGCACGTACTGCCAGACAGAAAGCATCCCCCAAGGAGGACTGGTCATACCGCAATCACTTTTCCTCCACTTCTCCGTCTTGTCAGAATGCGGGGCATACGTGCACACACTCCCAGAACGCTGCCAAGCTGCCAGCGCTGAGATCTTCACCGTGGCCAGTTATGTGGATCTGGCTACCAAGGCATAGTGCTAAACCGCTGCTATGGGCCGGCCCTCAAAGTCAAGTTTTTAAAATCTTGATCATCGAATTGGAATTTTAGCATTTAGAGGCAAATTAAGTAATTGAATTGTCTCACTTCTTTGTTCTGCTGTGTGGCAGGACTCGTAGCCACGTGCCTGAGACCTCCCAGTCTTCTGATGGCCACGGCCCATCGTAGCATGGAGAGGGCACGGCGTGGGGCTCCGGCCCAGCAACTTGGCTGCACCTTCTCCTTTCATGTCAAAAAAAAAAAAAGGATTGGGTCAGTCTCGAGTAGAGGGTGCTCACAAAAGCTCTTTGAGGCTCCTGGATTTAGGCAGCAGAAGTTGGTGTATATTTCTCTTTTTGCTTGTTTTTGTTTTGTTTTGAACTTAAAAAAAAAAAAATAAGGATTTTATTTATCGAAGGCAAGAAGATGCAAACATATGAAAATCAAAAATGTATCTGGCATTTAACCAACTTTTCTGCCCCTGCTTATCAAATAGGAGTTAGATGTTCTTTGCACACTTTCTGAGTCCTGATCTGTTTGTGAAATCCTTATAAGGGCCAGGGAGGTGGCTAGGAGGCAGATTCCTTAAGTGGTCTTGTGGGAGAGCCCTTAGCGGGATGGGACTAATTGGTCGATTCTGCCCGCTTCTTTTCCTGCTGCTGCCTGTGCCTACAAAGAGTCGCTGCACGCAGTGATGAGGCCTGCAATTAGGGAAAAGAGCCTCTGGAAGCCCACTTGGCCATCTCGGCGCTGGTCCAGGTTCATCATTAGCCAAGGCCAGAGGATTGTTTTGATTTTTCCAAAGCTCCAGGGAACTCCATTTCCTTTGTTAAGTAGCCTTGGCCCCATCAAATCTGTGAAATGTAAGCATGGTTTCCATAGCATCTTCCATTTGAGATGGCATTTTGGTGAGATCTTCGTAGTGACGCTGGGCAAGCCGGGATGTGGGGAGCGCTGAGTACAGCGAGCTGGCCACCTTAGGCCCCCGAGTGAGTGGGGCGAGGGAGGCAGCGCTGCACAAGTCCGTGAATTTCACGTGACACGTGGAAAGCAAGGTGTAGATACGCTTTGTGTTCGTCATTCCAGGGAGGGGTAGGAATTTCAACCTGGGACAGCAAATCTGTGCTTGGAAACATTTCAGTCACAGACTGAGAAAAACAGAGAGAAAGGGAATGTAAGAAATCACCCCCCCAAGAGGGCATGGTCATGCCACAATCCCTTCTCCTCCATTCTCTTCTCAGGATATGGGGCATGCACGCACATGCACCTGACATGAGTTTTAAGCTGCTGGGTCCAGGACTTGAACTGTGGTTGACCACGTGGGAGTCCAGCAACGTAACCATTATACCATCTGCTGGTCCCTCACCTTCCCTTCTCAAAGCAGAAAAATTAAGATATGATTGCCGTAATAACATGAGCTTTGTTATTATTATTGTCTTTTAAAATATTTTAATTTAAAACATTTTTATGATAGTGTGTACACGCACACACCAGAGAGAGACAGAGACAGAAAAGCACCCACAACAGTCTCACCACACTGTGCTCCCCTTTCCCCAGCTCTTCAGGGTTCTGGGTGCCATGCACGTGCCCTATGTGCGTTCAGGCTGACTGGGGATCCCAGTCACAGTGGTTCCATGCTTCCAGCCTTGGGGGCACTCGTGTCACTGCACCACAGAGGCTGGGCCTAGAGAATAACTGCTGAAGAACACGTTGCGTGTAGTTCTGACCTCACAGAACGTGCTGTGTCCCCACACAAGTCTAATGCTCACCTGCCCCACCCGTATGATCTCTTTCAAGGAATGGAGTTGAGCTTGGCACACAGCACAGCCACTGCTCTGGGGGTGCCCCGAGTGCCCCCCCGCCCCCTTCGCACAGTTGTCCTCGGCCCCTGGCCCTGCTCTCCGTGCACACAGGTGATGACGTCAGCTCATCTCCCTGCACCTGGGGGTGAGGCCCACATACTTGACCCCTGCTCTCGTGTCAGGAGGCCTGGGAGCCATTTTAAATGCTGCTGCTTCCACAGTGGGAGTGACCAGTGTGTACCCTTTTCATCCTTCTCTTAGCTCACACTAGAACCTGGGCGTTTCATGTTTTGGAAAAATTGATACCAAATGTGAACCTGTGGTTCTGGGAAAAGGTCAGCCTCTCCACAGGCCCGGAGAGGCTTTCACGGAGCTCTAACACATGCAGTATCGCCAAGTGTCTTGGGCCGTGTGACAGAGAGGATGGGCTGTGAAACGAGACCGCGTCGCGGCTCACTAGACACGTGGTCACAGATTCCTACCCCGTGCTAGGGAACTGAAAGGTGGCAGGGTTTTTTCTCTCTGTGAACTTTCAAGTTGGTATTCCCTGTGTGCTTTGCTTTCTTAAATCGACTCTCCTAGTGTTGGGTTGTGGGGCGTATTTAAAGGTTAGATGTGTAGAAGGGATGGGAGAAAAGCAGGCCTGAGGGGCCTCCTTTCATTTCATTTCACTCTATTTATTTATTTATTAAGATTTTTGCTAGGGGGCACATGATCTCACCAGAGAGACAGAAAGCAAGAAATCACCCCCTGGGGGGATGGCCACGCTGCAATCCCTTCTCTTCCATTCTCCTCTCAGGATTTTGGGCACCCATGCCCAGCATCAGTTTCAAGCTGCCAGGTCCAGGACTTGAACCACTGTCAACCACTACACCACCTGCTGACCCCAACCTTTATTTTTAACCTCCTGAGGTTGTTAGCACCGTGGGTTAAGTCCTACTCAGATTGACTGACATCAGAAATGTTAGGTCGCAGCCCCTAGCCAGCCAGGCATTAGCAGCATGGCCTCGAGGTGCCAAACTGCTTTGGGCTTTAACTTCTCTACCTGAAAAAAGTTCATAATATCTCTCCTTACATCTTCCTGGGATTTGAAAATAAAGGGGAGAATGTGAGGAGTCATCTCCCTGGGAATGTCAGTGATGGCACCTCCCGGCGGGGAGAGGGGCCGCCCTGCCTGGGGCCTGTGCCATCCGGCCATGCCATCCCCCGTGTGCCGTGGAGTCTGGGCAGGCCTCCCCGTTCTGCATTCCCAGCATAGTTACTTTCTGAGTAATCCCCCCACTTTCACTGAATGGAAGAATTGAGTGTTTTCGAGCTTTCCGCCCACACAGACACAGAAGTGAGCCATCTATGTCAGAAAAGGAGCCGTTCTCAGCTTCTGCCTTAAAACGTGCTCGGCGCCTAGCAAAGATCTGCCTCGGCTCTGATGCCTGGCAGGGAGGCGAGGACGCGCTCGTTGCTGAGTCCCAGACAGTTACAGGGTTTAAAGCTCAGCACGGCACCAGTCTCTGATCCGGGTGTCTCTGTTGACTTGTGAGGAAACTGAGGCCCGGCATAGGAAGACCCTTACCCAGGGTCCTACAGAAAATTATGGCAGAGGCTGAGTACCATCTGAACCCATGTCTGCTGACCCTCAGGCCAGAGCATTCCTCCTCTGCCTGTTCCTCTGCCTCTGTGGGGCGGACGCCTGGGCACTGACGGGCTGCAGCAGGAGGGACCAAGATCCAGAGGAGACGGTGTCAGACAAGCAAGGGGCGAGGACAGGGCTTGGAGATGCTCAGCCCAGGCCCCTCATCCCGGCCCCTTGCTGCTGTCCAGGCTCCTTAGGACTCCCAAGACCCTGGGGGTGTGGGGCATTACACGCATGAGCCCACCCATCCCTGGGCCTGGAGACAGGAGACCTGGCTGGATCTGAGTGGAGTGCCTGGGGCACCACCCAGGGAGCAGCCTGGTGCCTTCAGCTCTACCACAGGGGGCAGGGACACTGCACAGGGAGACTGGGGTCTGCAGCCCAGTGGGGCAGCATCCCCTGCAGGAGACGGGGCTCCCTGGGTGGAGAAGGTGCTTAGACAAGAAGCAGTACAGAGGGCAAGAAGCCCAGGGGCTTTGAGTCAAGCTGACCTGGGCTTAAGGCCCAGCACTGAGTGACATGGAGCAAGTTGCTTAACCTCTCTGAATAATTTCTTCTTCGTGAGGTTAGTTTGAGGATCAAATGAAGAAATGGAAAGTACCTAAGTGTTCATAAATGATAGCTAAACTCTGGGGCCAGCAGAGGGCACATTGGTTATGTCATGGACTCCCGTGTAGGCAACTGCAGTTTGAGTCCCAGACCCGGCGACTTAAAACTCATGCCAGGTATATGTGTGTACATGCCCAAGATCCCAAGAGGAGAATGGAGGAGAAGGGATTGTGGTGTGGCCATCTCCCGGGGGGTGATTTCTTGCTTTCCTGTCACTCTGTCTGTCTCTGTCTCTTCAGCAAGCATAAATCTCAATAAATAAATAAATGTTAGCTAAACTCAGAATTAAGGGGGATCAGGTAGCAGGTGCTACCCACCCCTGCCCCAGGTGCCAGCATCCACTACTCTCTGGGGTGGCACGACGGAGTCACTGTCCACTCCCATCCTCCCCCACTTCTACAGTTGATGGCAACAAGCCCGGAGAGGCCACAGAGCCCCAGGTTAGGGCACCGCCGTGTCTGGTTCTGACCCCCGCCCGTGACCCTCTCTTGCAGGTTCATGTGCTCCCAGCTGCCCAACCAGGTCCTGAAGAGCATCAGCATCATCGACAGCCCCGGCATCCTGTCCGGGGAGAAGCAGCGCATCAGCCGAGGTCAGTGCCCCTCCTGCTCCCCCTGTGCGGTCCGAGGCCCTCGCCCATGGGAGCCGGGATCCTATCCCTGCCATATTCTACCCGACCTCCAGGATGGCATTGCCCAGACCCCCCACAGCACCCCGGAGTAGCTGAAGGGGCCCCAAGAAACAACCCGGAAGTCATAGCATCGCTTCTACCGCTTCAGCTGAGAAACTTTCTGGAGCCGTAGCTGTGACCCCTAATTCCTTTACACATGGTCACCTACTGGTACTGCCTCAGGGGACCCCAGGAAAATGTCCCTTGCCAGCCCTCCCCTCCCGATGGCCTGGTACTCCACCTCAGTAGCCCTCGCGGCATCCTTCCACTGAGCCAGCCTCTGTTGGGTGCTGGAGCTCATTTGTGATAAACAGCAGAAGTGCCTGAACCGAGCAATGTACTAAAAACAGAGACCACCTCTGGTGGGGTCTCCTGGCTGCATCGCAGCATGGCAGAGGGCGGGAGAGTGCGGTCTGTCCCGCGCGTGGGTCTCTCTTTGTAAGGCCACCAGGAGTCAGTCACGGGGGAGGGGGAGCCGCCCTGATGACCTCAGACCTCTGCCCTGGAGCCCCATCTTTCGACATTATCAGTGGACCAGGTTTCACACCCTTAATCCCATTAGAGTGTCACGTGATTTTCTGGGGACACAGTCAAACGAGAGCGTTGGTACCAGCTTGGTAGAGGGTGCTTGCTGCTCACGGGGAGTGCCGCAGAAGCAAGCGTGGGTTCTGCCCTCAGGGAGCTGATGGTTGATGAGGAAGCCAGACACTGAGCAAGTTACCTACAGATAAGTGGAAGATGAGGACCAGGATCAGCGGGATGAGAAGTGGATCACACAGCCGAAGGGGACCTGGCCTGGCCTTGGGGAGGCGGGCGGGGCTCCCCACAGAAAGCACTATCGGAACCAGGGTCTGAGGTTGGATAGGAATTGCCCAGGGAAGCTCTGGGCCCCAGAAGAGAGACTGTGAGTGGTCCGATGAGATCTAGAAGAATGGCAGATGCTAGGACAAGAACATCTGGCTTCTTCGGCTTCAGATGATCCAGCTGAGGCCGCAGTTTTTCCAGACCCAGGCACTGTGGTTAAACAGATGGGCCTGCAGCACCCTCGCTCCTGCAGAAAGGGGCCATCGGGGTAGACTGGAGGACACAGCTGGCTTGTAGAGAGGAAACGCCTGACCTCGGGGGCATTAGGATGATCCCTGTGGGCACAGAGGCAGGTCAGGTCGTTCCTCTCGCCCTGGCCCTTGAAAGGATGATGCCACAAGGCTTTGCTGGGAGGGAGGAGGGGGCGCAGACGGGCTGTGCTGGCACCTCTCTCCGACGACTCTCCTCAGCCCCTTCAACAGCAGGTCGGTACAACCAGCGTGCCGAGTTTGAGCAGTGCCACCTGGGGTCATGGCCATGGGGCGTGGTCAGGCACTGAACTCCCCTTACAGGCCTGAGGGGCTCCCATGACTGGGTAGAAAAAGGGGCTCCGAGGCCAGTGGACCCTCCTTCTCAGGGCATCTCAGAAGTGCTGGCCCTGCTGCCTCTGTGGACGTGCGGGGAGCTCAGGGCTGCCCTGAGCTGAGGCCCTCCAGTGTTCACCCGGCTCTGCTCTCACGGGCCACGCTGGGGAAGCAGCCGCTGCGGGGGCCCCAGCATACTAGGGAGTCCTGGGGCCTCCAGGAACCTTGCAATTGTAGAAAAAAGACAGGCTCTTACTTTTCGTCTGTCATAAATTTATCTTTGTTGGTTTTGCAGTCTACTGTCAGGAATAACTGTTCATGGTTTTCACTGGCTTCTCAGAGACTTTTTTTCCTGCCTGTATAGCACGTCTTTTTTCATTTTTCCTTGAAAGAGAGAAAACATTGGAGGGAAAGTTAGGTTTTTTGTTTTTACTTTTTTTTTTTTGGTAATGTGCTGTAGGTCATATGTACTCACTGGAGAGAGAGAGACAGACAGATAGACAGATAGATCACTCCCCAGGGGGAATGGCCACGCTGCAATCCCTTCTCTTCCATGTTGCTCTCTGGACTTCAGGCATACACGCCCAGTGTGATTTTTAAGCTGCTGGGTCTGGGACTCAAACCATGCAATCAGTCATGTAGGACCCAGCTGCCTTACCCTCCTTACCACCTGCTGAATCTCAGGGCAATGACGGGGTCTTGCCATGTCACTGTCCTCTTGCCTCAGTCCCCCAGTCAGGCAGAACCACATGCGTGCCCTGTGCCTGGCCTGTGTAGGTTGGGCCAGGCATCAAACCTGGGCCTCCCTGGCCAGCCCCATGGCCAAGTGGTTACAAAGTCAGATCTCACATGGCTGGTCACAGTTCCAGTCCCAGCCTGGTGACTTGAAAACACACCAGGAGCATGTATGTATGTGGCCCAGAATCCCGACAGGATGGAGGGATGGAGAAGGGTTTGTGGCGTGACTGTCCCCCTGGGGGATTCCTTCTCCCTGTCTCTTTCTCTGTCTCTGTTTCTCTCTGGCGAGTGTATATACCCCCCGTAACTGAAGGGAAAAGGCAACAACCTGAGCTCCTGTGTGGCCTCAGCCACCACGTAGGGCCACCCTCCCATCAGACACAGCGTCGCTAAGTGATGTGACCCCGTGCGCATGTTCTGCAGCGCTTTCCCCGGGTGGTCTCAGACATAGCTCCACTGCACTTTCATTCCTTTCAGTAACTGCTTGAGCACCGTTAAAGGGTGTACTATTACTTGTTTATTTAATTTGTGGTTCTCATGAATGTTAGTAACTTTTTACTCTTACACGTAGTATAACAGATGGTTACCATTTCTTGCAGTATCTTTCTTCTGCAGAGCCAATAGTTTGTTCAATAGCCATTTTAGGACCATTAATTTGGCCCCAGAAAGGCCGCTTTGCTGATAAAATGTTTTGTTCTAAAAGGAAACGAAATAGCCATGTTTTCTTGAGCTGCCCATGTCTCTCTGCTTCCGCACGTCTGACCAAAGTACAAGGAGATTTACAAAAGTACATGGGGAAGGGAACCAGCAGTTAGCGTAATGGCTATGTCGCTGGACTCCCACGTAGTCGACCGCGGTTCGTGTCCCGGACCCGGTGACTTAAAACTCACGCCGGGCGCATGTGCGTGCGTGCCCAAGATCCCGAGAGGAGAATGGAGGAGAAGGGATTGTGGCGTGACCATCCCCCCTGGGGGGTGATTTCTCGCTTTCTGTCTCTATGTCTCTCTCTGTCTGGCGAGTGCACGTGCCCTACAGTGAAAATCTCTCTCAAAAAAAAAAAAGTACATGGGGAAAAAATAGATTGAACGCATGTATTTATTTTATTGCAAAAAAATTTTTGAAATCTGGACATAGTTACGCATTTTCCACGGACGTTTTGATGGCCCCCACATATGCTGGAGAACTGTGTGGTCCCGGCAAACCTTTTCACCTCTACCTTTTCAGACCTGTAGGTTCGGGCTCCACCATGCCCCTTTCCTTTCATTGATGGGCCTTGGCCAGTTCTGGTCATCCTTATTCTTCAGCTTCTCCTTTGCTCAGTGATTGTCAGCATCGAGTGCGGCTTCTTTGTAATAGCGTGGGAGCTTGGCATAATGCTTTCAGTATGCTTTGAAGACTTAACACTGTGTAACAATCCGACTCATATCCTGGTCTGACTTTCCATGACATGCCCTTACTCACATCCTCTGCACAGAAATAGCACATATAGTCCGAGCCCGTCGTTGGATCCTGCCGCTCTGACGGATGGCAACTGGTGAGGAAGGACCCGTGCAAACGCTGACCACGCTGTGTACGGTGGCCTGGGCACCTAGGCTTGGAGGCCGCACGGTGCTGGGGAACAGTTGGCATTAGAGTCACGCAGCTGATCTTCTCGACGTGTTAGCCCCATACGTAGCTGTCAAAGCCGCCTCAGCTCTCTGTCAGCCCCCCACTGCGTGAGGTCACAGCCTTCCTTCGGCAGGCCGGAAGCCAACACTGGAGGGTAGAGTAGTACAGACCATGAGCCCGTAACATGTTTAAAACGTCCCCCACTGGCTTGATTGGTGGGTTCTGGCCTCCTTGCAGGAGTTTTGCCTGTGACCAAGGAAGTGTGGCAGCCGATCTTTCTTTTCATTCTTCCCCGGACAGTTCATGGGTTAACCCCAGCAAGCTGAGGGGCTGGTCCTCACCAGGTAGCTCCCTCTTACACGTTGTTACAGAGTCTGCTGGAAGTGTGTGTTAACGGTATGATGACATCTCATGTCTACACTGTGCCGCCATGGAGGAGTTACGGTCTGGTTCACACCTGAACACGATCATGAGCAGACGGACGCTCAGCCTGGTCGAGGAAACCCCCATCACCATCACCCCTCTTGGACAGCAGAGTCTTGCAGCCATCGTGAGACTTTTCCCAGCTGCTGGCATGTGGATGGCCAAACTCAACACCTAGCGAGCGGACAGAGGAGACATTGTCAAGGTGCCGTGACAGGACAGGCTCAGAGGAGCGCCTGCTTCTGGCTGAAGCCATGTGAGAAGGTTGTGCAAACCTTAGGCCTCAGCTTGCTGGGGAAAAGACATGGCTACAGGAGAAAGAGTATGTGGGCGTCCTCCAGGAAGACCTACTGACTCCCCAACCCAGCTTGGCCCAGGCAGGCCCAGGGGAGCGGCTGGGCATTACCTCCTGTGCTGGAGGTGAGAGTCGGGGCGGCGACCCACTGGGAGCTGGCCGCACACCCTCACGGTAGCCCTCGAGCACTGTCCAGGGTCCAGGGCACCCAGGACTGGGGGCCGAGTGCCTAGGGAGGAGGCTTCCTCAGGAGGGGGTGTCTGAATGCCTTAGCGAGGGAAGCAAAAGGGACGACCTGGACTCTGATCTCGTGCCTCACCTCACCTATGGCTTCCTTCTTCCTTGCTCATTCTTCTCTCTCATTACCACAGAAGCCTGGTTCCTTTTTATTCTGTGCCGAGAAGAAGTATGATCCTGGCATTTTTACCCACTCGGTGACAAGAACCAACACCTGATGTTTCTCCCCAGCT